TCAGTGTGTGTGTGTGTGTGTGTGTGTGTGTGTGTGAGAGAGACTGGCAGACAGCCAACAGATGATACTCAACTGTAAAGTGACACATTATTGCTCTCATTTGTTAAATGTCTCGTCTCCGTCTATACGATATCTCTCTTTTGTCATGTGAAAACATTCTACATATACATACATTTCACTTACATGGCTTTCTTAAGATTGACTTCACCACTCTGAGGTTTAGGAGACACCCTTTCAGAATTTATAAGAAGAGAAGAAAAAACAACAACATGGTGGTTGAATTACAAACAGTCTTATTGAGGAAGAAGTTTGACATTTAGGGTTTTCCATTAAATAAGTTTGATGTTGTATTTTCCTCTTCTGTTTGTTCTATCTCCAGACTTTGAGTGGAAACGTCCTCGAATTCCGATATATTTATTGCTTCGCTGCCGCAGTCAGCGAAGCGTCATTATGATTAGGCCGTATATTTAATTTGAACTAAAAGAGGCACAAAGAGAAATATTGTGAGAGAAATTGTTTACCAGACTCGTCCACGCTCGGCCCCTTGAGAGAAACAGAACCAGTCGAACTTCACTTTTATTGAGAAATAAGAAAGAAAACATGTATTTATTCCCACTTCTCCACTGTCAGCATGCTCCAAGATGCTCTGGTTACACTTTTATTAGCTGACTTTTAGGCTACTTGGGGTCAGCAGAAACAAGTTTGTCATCAAACAGCATTCTTTTGGAGCCGTTTCTCTGGACACCTTCTGAAAGTAACATTCCCTCTCATTTAGCTTTGCTTGTGCTGTCTTTAGCTGCTAATGCTAATATATTCACCATCTAGTCGCTAACGTAGTCCGTCTGCTGTTTGGTGCTGAGCAGATAGTGTACAGTTTGTATGGATTAAACAAGCAAGACATAATATGTTCATTACTTTAGAATTGGTGTTGGTCTTTGGAAAGAGCCAGGCTAGCTTTCTCCCCTGGTTTCCAGTCATTATGCTAAGCTAAGCTAACCAGCTGCGGGTTGTAGCTTCACATTGAACAAACAAGCGTGTGTGGTATCGCTCTTCTCGTCTTACACTTGGCAAGAAAGTGAATAGGCTGAAAATTGGAATGATTCCTTTGATATAAAATCATAGCCACTTTAAATCAACCACTTTGTTTTCAAACTGCTCTGGAAGCTGTAAATGAAGCCATATTGGCAAAGCTGTGAATGTTTGGAACATGCTGCACATTGATGGACAGCTCCGAAGCGGTTTCATGGTGTAGCTTTTTTCAAGATGTTTTGGTACCTTTATTTTCTCCATCATGAAAACTTGGAGCCGATTTGCCACGACCTGAGTCCAAGCTGAGCACAGCTGCAGTTGTAACGAGGAAGCTGCAGACCTTTTTACAGCCATCTTCAAGCCAACGCTGGGTGAGTGTTTGATACTCAAATGACAGATTTTGTGTGGAGGATCACTTTGAGGGTGGGCCTAATCCGCTTGCAGCCAAGAGAGACTGTTTTGACAGCGGTTGAGCCGAGAAATAAATCAGGACTGGCTTGATTCAGTATTTATGGAATCACATGATGAGAGGGAAATTACACGAGGAAAGGAGAGCGAGCAGAGCGTTGCAGACAACAATATGTACAGTGTTTTTTTGTGTAGCCTTCAGTGTGTGCATTCTAGCTTGCATCTCTGCGAAGGCGAAAAGACAACTGGCCGACGGTGATGCTGAGGGAAAGGGGCTGGAGCGGAGGGATGACATCAGACGGGATTTTCACAGGAATGGCGGCTAGCAAAACAAAAGCAACGTGACCTGCATCAATACGAGCGTTGTGCCGCTCTTCAGCATTGCTTTTAGGGGCTTACTTGACCGAGAGAAAAAAATGTCTGAAACTGTCAGAGGGTGAAACGGTGACTCCGGGGCCTCCTGTGTGCAGTGTTTGACTTAAAGGAACGATGTCAATATCGTGATAGTGACGCAATAACATGCCACAAACTATTTTTGATGTGACGAGGTGATGATATGAAGCATTGATTGCATGCACAAACAGGAAAGCACCGGAAACATTACAAGTTAAAACAGACTTCCTGGCAGGGATTATTTTCCTTCTAATC